CAAACCCAACCTCTTTTATTACAACAAAGCTGTACAGTTTGCGGGGGGGGGTCCCGCAGCCCCCTCTACCCCGAGGGATAGGCCTTGATGATCTTGACGTCATCCAGGGGCCGGTCCTGGGCATTGGTCTCCACCATGGCCAGGCGGCCCAGCACGCCCATGCCCTGGCACACGCGCCCGAAGATGCTGTGCTTGCCATCCAGCCATTGTGCAGGGCCCAGTGTCAGGAAGAACTGGCTGCCATTGGTGTCCGGCCCCGCGTTGGCCATCGCCAGGATCCCAGCGCCTGAGGGACATGGGGACATGGGGACAGGGACCTTGGGGAGGGACATGGCACCCCATGGCCAAGGTCTTAGTATCACAGGGAACAGGTCACCTCATGGATGGGGACTCAGGGGACATGGGAGCTCATGGATGAGGACTCAGGGACATGTCACCTCAGGGATGGGGACACGGGGACATGGACCTCAGGGGGAGGACATGGGGACATGGCACCCCTTGGCTAAGGTTTATGTCACCTCCAAGGATGGAGACAGAGGAGACATGGCACACCTTGGCCAAGGTCTTGGTATCATGAGGGATGTCACCTCATGGATGGGGACTCAGGGACATGGGAGCTCAGGGATGGGGACACAGAGAACATGGCACCCCGTGGCCAAGGCCTTGGTATTATGGGAACATGGCACCTTATGGAAAGAGATGGAAAAGACATGGCACCCCATGGCTGAGGTCTTGATATTATGGGAACATGGTGCCTCATGGAAAGGGATGGAAAAGACATGGCACCCAACGGATGGGTCCTGGGGGACATGTCACCCAGTGGAGGGGTCTTAGGGAACCTTAGGAAGAACTGGTTCCCATTGGTGTCTGGCCCTGCATTGGCCATTGCCAGGATCCCAGTGCCTGAGGGACACGGGGACAGGGACCTTGTGGGGGGGACATGGGGACCTGGACCTAAGGGGTGGGGACATGGGGATACAGGGACATGGACCTCAGGGGTGGGGACACAGGGACGTAGCACCCCATAGAAAGGGACATGGCACCCCATTGATAAGGTACCATGGGGAACATGCCATCCCATGGATGATCCCCCATGAATGGGGTCAGGGGGGACATGGTACCTCATGGTTGGGGTCCTGAGGGACACAGGGACATTTCAGTCCAAGGATGGGGACACAGGGGACATGTCACTCCATGACCAAGGTTCTCACATGATGGTGGCCATGACATTCCTATGGATGATCCTTCATGGATGGGGTCTTTGGGGATATGGGGGATGTGTCATACCATGGATGGGTCCTGAGGTCCTGGTGGATATCCCACCCCTTGACCAGGGTCCTGGGGATCCCAGGGGCCCCAGGGGGTCTTCCCTGCTATAGGTGGGGTCCTGGGGATCCTGGAGGTCTTCCCTGCTATATGTGGGGTCCCAGGGTCCTGGGGGGTCCTGCCCTGCTATAGGTGGGGTCCTGGGGATTCCGGGGGTCCCAGGGGTCCTGCCCTGCTATAGGTGGGCTCCCAGTGTGCCAGGGGTCCCCCCCACTCACCAGTGAACTTCAGGTCAGGGTGCAGCTCATCCTCAAACTGCTTTCCGTAGATAGAGGCACCGCCGCGGCCTGTGGGAGGATTTGGGGGGTCAGCA